TCAGTGCGCGGCTTATGCATGCCCTCCGGCACGGATAACACCGCATCAGAAGTCGGGGTGAACGAACTGTTCACCGCGGCATGGCCCTTGCAGATCTTTGTGCAATTAGTCGCAGCATGGGCCTATAAGCACAAATGGTCAGTGTTAGCCTCGCGTATTCCAGGCGAGCGCAACGTGTGGGCCGATCAGCTCAGCCGCGGCGACACATCCGCATTCGACAGCAAGCCGCAAGCTCGCTTTCGTTTTCGCCCGCATGATTTCTGGCCCCACAAATGCAAGCTATCGCTGCATCCGCCCGACGCCCCATGGCGGCCGGAGCATAGAGGTGCTTCGCAAACGCTCTGAAGAGGGGGTGATAGATTAGGCCGTTTGCTTTGAGGAGGCTCCGCAGAGGGGTGCAGATACGGGGAAAGGACACGCGATGTCTTTCCTCCTGCACCTCTGAGCCTCAACTTCCAAGCAACGCCTTATAAAGAAAAAGGGGCGTGCGCACATGTTTGTCGGCCCCCCCCCCTTTTGTCTTTGACTGCGTGTTCCCTTTCGGATTGAGGCAGTGATCAAGATTCTAACGTTTAGGGTTTTATTTTCCCTTATGTTTTAATCTTGATCGAATCTTCGGACGCGTGGCCGTTTTCTGCTTCAAGCCACCTAAGGGACTTGCGTGAGGGTTACCCCTCACTTTTTTTTTGGTGCCCACCCACCCACCCTGTCAATACTCAGGCGAACCTGCCTGGGCCCAGCCGCAGCTGGCACAAAATTTGGTTCATCACCGTGAGACGCATCTCGCGCCAGCGACAGCATGCAATAAGCACCGCTTGCTGTAGATGCTGCCAGGACTCAGCCTGGTACCCATCGCACATTAGCCGGATGCACGCACTGCATCCAGCCGCCACATGACTGTTTCGACTTGTCTCAACCTGGCACCGCGTGCGCGCCAGCCGGATGCACGCATTGCATCCGGCCGCCATCAATGCCTTCGATTGTTTCCCGCCTCACAGGTAACACACCTGGCGCCTGGTCGAACACGCATTGTTGACCACGGGGCATATGAGGAGGCTCCGCAGAGGGGTGCAGATACGGGGAAAGGACACGCGATGTCTTTCCCCCCACACCTCTGAGCCTCAACTTCCAAGCGGAGGCTCCGTAGAGGGGTGCAGATACGGGGAAAGGACACGCGATGTCTTTCCCCCGGCACCTCTGAGCCTCAACTTCCAAGCAACGCCTTATAAAGAAAAAGGGGCGTGCGCACATGTTTGTCGGTCGCCCCCCTTTTGTCTTTGACTGCATGTTCCGTTTCGGATTGAAGCAGTGATCAAGATTTTAACGCTTTGGGTTGTTTCCTTTGTGTTTTAGGGCCGGTTGTGAATCTTTTGCGCTGCGGCCATTTTGAGCTTCTAGCCTTGAACTCATTCTCAAGGACTGTCGTCCTTGTTTTTTTGAAACACACCCTCCCAACCCTATCTGGCCTTTTGTGCACTTGCTAGGAGGTTTGCCAAACGCCAGGGCCCACGGTCCTGCCTGGCTTCATCACAGGACCTGGTCCCGTGATGGTGGTGTGGGCACGCTTGTGGCACACCGTGCTTTTGCACTCTTATTGTAAGGTGCCCCTTTTGTTTCACAGGGCGGGGGTGGAATACCTCACCCCCGTTGACAGGGCACCGCGTGCCTTGGTTCACTGTGCGACCTTCCAAGCAACTCGTCAAAAAGGTGTGCGCTTTTGTCGTTCGGCTTTGTTGGGGGGCTGTATGAGTCTCAAGCTAGAAGCAATGCAACAGGCCTTTAACCACATGGATTCTGATTGCTTGGCAATCGACATAAACTTCATGTTTGCATTTGCGGCGTAAATGTGTGGTGTGGAAACTGATAATGCACAACGTGGCAAGAAACTCCCTTGCTTAGCTGGTATTCAATCGTATCATTTGCACAAGTGTTGGGCATCATTCTGGTGCATGTGGACTTTCGCGGGGTTGTTTCTTTTTTTGTTTCTTTTTTTCGTGCAAGCAAAGGACATGCCAGATGAAAGGAACTCAGCAATAGGCTCAAATCATTTTTTGCCTGGAATTGCGGCCATCAAGTTTTGAATTGCACGTTTATGGCTTTCCCGGTTCCTTCATGAAGTAGGCGTTCGATCATTCTTAGAATAAATGTAATGTGGATTCCTGATTCCTTCACCGGTTTCATTTGCTTGCATGGCATGTCTGCACTAAAGAGCATTTTGCGTTTGTTGCTCTTGGCTGGAAACACAGGCCTGGCGATTTGCAGGGATGTGTTTTCGAATCCTGACACAGATTCAGATAATGTACATCCAATGGTTCGAGGATTGGTTGTTATTTTCGGCACAATTTCAGACGGAATGGGGACATCGCGGAGTCAAGTGTACCATCCGGTCATTTGGCACTTTACGAACAGGGAATAACAATGTGTTTGGACTGTGGACGGTTCGTTCTTTGTGTTCTTACATCAGGAGTTCAAGACACGCGTGACTGGAAGGGCTTAATGTGCAGCAACATACAACAGTGTGTTATTTGAAGTACAAATAGTATCCTCTGGAATGGCTGAAACGTCAGAGGGAGTCTCTGCGTCAGCATCTTGCCTGCACTCGATTTCGAGTTCCAAACGACGGGTCTTTCATCATGCAAACACCGCTCATCAAGTTTTGTTAGGTCATGCTTACTGAGTTGCCAAGGAATCGAGCATCGCAGCTGGCCGAACATCGGCTGAAACAGATGAATACGAGGCCTTTTTGCGTCGTACTGCCGACTCATGCATTGCAACTTAAGCTCTGGAAGGAACTGTCGCATTTTCATGCCAAAGCCCGAGCAAGACGAAAAAACCGTCAGAAGCGCATCCAGACTCTTAGCTGCAATGTGCTTATTGGGATGATTGCATGCGTTTGTGAGTCGCAGGTATCAGTTCTTGTTCAAGGCTGCGCTCTTAGCCTTGTGATGCTGGTAAGTCGAAGGAGTCTAAACCTTGCAGTCATCAACTTGAGCCGACATTAGTATCTGCTGATGCTTCTCTGCTCTAGAACAGTGTGAAGTGTTGAAGGCACCTGCTTTGTTCAGTTGGATTCCACGTGGTTGCGCAGTTGTCGGAAGCTGGTTCGAATAGGATTCGAAATGGCTGCAGATGGCTTTGAAGTTAAATTGCACTACAATAGGGAGATGGTTGCAAGCGAGCCATGAGCTAGAAGTTGGTCAATCATGGCCGAAGGACCAGACATTTGTGAGAAGTTCAGAAAGGCTTTGCAATTCAAACGACACTTCACTTGCAGAAGAACTGTGGGTTTTGTTCTGCAACCTTCATGTTCGTGCTGCTTATATGAATGTGTGTGCCTTCACGAGACTGTCTACCGCGGGCCACAAACTGTGTGTGTTTCTGACAGTCCTCTGCAAGCTCAACCTCGCTCAAACTGTTGTTTGCTGCACGCAGCATGTCAGGCTGGAGCGTTTGTCATCATGCTGGCCGTGGTCATGATTACAAAGAAGATACAGCAATGGTGTCCTGATAGATGGAAAAGCGCGGCAGCAAGCTAGCAGTCCGAGTCCGGGGCTTCTTGACAGGTACAAGCCATCTTCTAGTCCTCCATCGGAAGAGGCATGTAGACAATGCAAGCAGTCTGGAGTCCTCACAAGAATTCTGCAGGCTTTGCCACGTCCAGCACATCACCTTGACGGCCAGCGGGGGTGTTTTGTGTGCCTGCACACCTTTCTATGTCTGACACAAACACAGGCACCGCACAAACACAGAGAAACTGACACGGACACAAGCACACACACACACACAAACACGCAAGCCAGCAAGCAGGCAAACGAGCAAGCAAGTAAACAACAAGAAGCAGATAAAAAAATGCACAAGCGAACGCACTCACACACAAGCACTCAAACACAGACGAGGCACGAACATACAAACACACCCAAACAAGCAAGCAAGTGAACAAGAAAGCAAGCAACAAGCAATTAAGGAACCAAGGGAAACAAACAAATCAGCAAGCCGAGCCAATAAACCAACAAGAAAGCAAACCCGATGAACCCAGCACGGTACAGTAGCCAACAAATCAATGCGCGAACAAACGGACAAGCAAGCAAGCAAACAAACAAACAAAAAGACAAACAACACACACACGGGCAAGGCAACACACACATACAAATGCAAGCAACCAAAAACGGAGCAAACCAACACAGAAACAAGACAGTAAAGGAAAGCAAGCAAACAGAAGCAAACAATCAAACAAACAAACAAGCCAACCAACCAACCAGCCAACCAACCAACAAACAAACAAGCAAACAAGCAAACAAGCAAACAAGCAAGCAAGCAAACAAGCAAACAAGCAAGCAAGCAAACAAGCAAACAAGCAAGCAAACAAGCAATCAAGCAAGCAAACAAGCAAACAAACAAGCAAAACAAAAAAACACTTACTGACAACCCCCACACAGCCGAGCGCCCTCGCACGAAACAACACGCAGCTATACGCGCAACCCCTACGCGCAACCACACAGCCGCAGTCACGCGCAGGAGCACATTTGCACGAAACCGTGCGCGCACGCACAAATGCGGAGGCACGCAAACACGAGCGTGCGCGCATGCATACACACACACACACCCACACACACATATATATATATATATGCATACACACACGCAACGACCAATGCAAAAACACACGATTGAATGTGTCCCACACGTTGGCAATCTCAGTTGCGCCTGCCAGGAAGTGAGCTGTGATAGAATTCAATGCCGTTGTTTACAGAAGCACTACTGACAACTGAAGTGCAACCCGCAGAACAAAGAAATGCTTGCAATTGAACGATGCGTGTCAAACATGTGCCAAATGGTGATGCATTCTGAGGTTGGGAGTGTTTGGTGGTGGGTGAGGGTGGTTGATCATAGACAAGATGCCCTCCTTCTAGACTTCTTGAGAAATGCTCGACAAATCGACTGACGTGGCGACGTTTTAGTGACTCTTGGTGTTGCAACGCATTCGCTGGCTCAAAACTTGCAGCCGCGCAAACTCGGACTCAGCGGTGCCGCTGAAGCGGGATAGGATCTTTGCCGATTCGGAGGCCTCAACTCTGTGCTGTCATTGCAAGTTGTAAATCATGTGGAAGTCTTCCACTGTTGCACGGAGCCTGAACTAGCAGAAATCTCAGAAACTTGCAGCTCGCGTCGCCCGAAAGGTGACCCTATTTTGAGAAGGCACTACGACGCTCAATCTGCCGCGGAAGTTTCAGCCTGAAATTTCATGATATTTGCGTGTTGATGCGATGCTTGGGTAACATCGAGTTCGCAACCCTGCGAAGAAAACTAGGTAGTCGTTCGTTCAATCACGGCTTTTAACGGAGAAACCAAGCCCTTGTGTAGGAATATCATGTTGTTTCTATTTTTGTTTGCGAAAGAAGCAGGCTCAAAATGTTTTCAATCCACGCCATGTTTTTTTTGTTTTGTTTTTTTTTTTGAGGTTCTTGTCGATGCCGCTGGAAGACGAACTCATGCAACGAGCACGCAGGCCAATCGGACATGAATGCACAGACATGCATGCACTCAGCTAAAACACCAAAGCGCAGATTCATTGCAACCTTTCACGTTGCCAATGAGGGGTACATTTCAATCCGCATTTTGAGATGCTGTTGCTGGTTGCTAGAATCGCCGCATCCCGAACAAGGGCAAGGGATTGCGTGTGGCCTCCTTCATGCGATGGTCTCAGGAGTGTCGCAGAACAAAGGCGGCAAAATCCCCTTGCCGAACAGGCCGGCCCAATGCAGCCACTGCACGTGTGCGCATTGCATGCCGTCGCATGTGGTCGCATGTGGCCGCATGCCGTCGCATGCCGCTGAAGTTGGCCAGGCGGCTTGGCCATGTCCTGCAGGACAGAAGGGCCAGAGGCCGTTCAGCTCAAACGAAAGAACGCGCATATGACTAGGCGAGTTTGAATCAAGCCCCCATAGAACTTGCAGTGTCATGGCAATTTCCCTCAAATGGGGTAATGTTTGGGTGCACCAAACATGACCCCTCTTCCTGTGGCTTTGTCTTCTTGTTGTTAGGAAGTTTGTTCACGTTGTTCTTTTGAACCCTTTAAAACGTCAAGTGAGAGGGAAAGCCAGACCCGCTTCATTCATCACTTGGGGTCCTGCGAAACAAAACCAATGTCAACCCAAGCAGTTGGACGATTCTGCCTTGCTGTTAATTTGTAGGGATTAACTTCAGATTAAGTACGTGGAGGACGCACCAACCAGAGGAATTCCCCGAGTAGATTATGGTCCCCACGAAGCAACACGACCGCGGAATCACCTTTTGATGCGTGCGACTTGACGTGAGCAGCTCCGTCGCCAGGCTTGTGCCTCCTGAGGTTGCTGGACCCAAGTCTTTTGGCAGGCTCCCCAAACACTTTGGTGCGCACGGATTGTACACAGCCACGTACTGTCGCTTGAAATGGTTGCCATGAAACCATAAGAAGCTGGAAGAAAGCCGGCATGGAAACAGACAAGTTATTGTCAAGTGCTACTCCAAGGAAAGGGACTCCAAGCTGAGGCACGGACAGAATCACATAGATCAAAGACAACCATATTGTCTGCAGGTGTCTCCTAGTGTCCAGCTGGCAAAGCTTGCCGAGATCTTCCGCTTGCTAGGGCAACAGGACCAGGTCGGCAGTCAAGACACGAGCCATAGCTCCTTGGTGGCTGAGTCAGGCTCGTGCCGTGGTGCCTGAACACAGCCTGACTTATGAGCAACAGCCTCTCAGTTGCATTTGTGGCTCACTGTTTATCTTGTGCATATCTTGCATATCTTCTAGCTGAGGACTTTGCTCTCGCACTTGGCTTGCGAGCAGGTTGACAAATGGTTGCAGGACACTGAAAGACTTGCCCTCATCCAGCATTGGAATGCTGCAAAGGAGCAACGCGCGCACTTACAGCAGCTACGCCAGATGCAGCAGCTCCAACAAATGTTGGCAGCTGAGAATGGTTGGCAGTGTGTGAGAGTTTGAATTGATTTCTGACAGAGGCAGCGCCAGATGCAAGAGCTCCAGCCAAAGCTACAGCAAATGCAAGAGACACTCGGCAAGCACAATCAAATGGAGCAGCTGCATCTCCAAGATAACATGTTCAATATTGAATAGTGCCACTGATCATCAAACTTGTTTGGCTCCAGCCACCTCTCAAACCATTTGCATGTTTCCAATATATGTGAACAGTGTTGCATTCCCAGAGCGATGCCAACCACATGGCATTTGGCTCAAGAGCATTGCCACCCAACGTGGCTCAAGGCTCAAGACCGCTGACCGTGGTAACCCGGTAATCGGCACCAGGTAGAAAGTTCCACTACCTGTATTGGGGCGTTGCAGGTGGGGAGTGGAAGTGGTACAACGAACCATTGGTATTCCACAATATACCCCCAGTTTCTCGGCCGAAGGGGTCTCCCACGCTGTGAGACAAAGGTCCTAAGCAATCGTTTTAAGCGACACGGAGCCCATGCTTGCGTTTCGCGCTTCGTTTTTGCGTTTTCGTGGTTTTCACGTTTCGCAGTTTTCGCGGTTCTCGCGGTGTTTGCGGTTTTCGCGGTTTTCGCAGTTTTCATAGTTTTGCGGTTTTCGCGTTTTCGCGGTTCTCGCGGTTTTCGCCGGTTTTCGCGTTTTTGCGGTTTTCACGGTTTTCGTGTTTTCGCGGTTTTCGTGTTTTCGCAGTTTTTGCGGTTTTCGCGGTTCTTGCGGTGTTTGCGGTTTTCGCGGTTTTCGCAGTTTTCACAGTTTTGCGGTTTTCGCGTTCTCGCGTTTTCGCCGGTTTTCACGTTTTTGCGGTTTTCACGGGCGGTTTTCGCGGTTTTGACGATGTTCGCTGCAAGTTCCCGTTGTTGGTATGCTTAATGGCCTTGTGTTTTGAGCCCCAGCGGTCATAGAAATAAGGTCTAGGTAGGTAGATAGATAGATAGATACATTAGATTAGATTAGTTAGGTTAGATTAGATTAGATTAGATTAGATAGATAGATAGATAGATACATCGATAGATACTTAGCACGGTAAGGTAGGACAACATGGGATAAGATAGGATAAGAAAGGACAAGATAGGATATGACAAGGTAAAATAGGACAGGTTCAAAGTTTCAGATTGCAAGACGCTGCAAAGCTGGCCGTGAACAGAGAAGCCCATGAGCAGATACTGGACAACGAGAACCGAGCCAGATCCGAGATCGAAGAGATCAAGCGACAACTGAATCGTGAAGGAGGCGTCGTCCTTGAAGCTGAAGTGTTGACGGCAAAGAAGAGCGCAGGTGCAGGAAGGTGCGTCCCAAAAGCAGTATGGCTCTTTTCAACATCAGTTTACTTCGATGAGGGAGCACAGTGACCAACTTCACGACAGGAACATGGAGTCATTGAAGTTAGAGTATCTCATTGAAGAGCGAAGGAAGCCTTCACGAAAGCCAAGAGTGCGGAAGAGATGATTCAGACCAAGGAGGAGAACAATGAAGAACTCCAAAGCAGGTGTCAACGTCTCAGCAGCGAGCGGAATGATGTGCGGACCGAGTTGGAGGATGTGAACGAAAGGTACGACGAGCTTCTGAAGGAGCATCAAGAAGACAGCCCCAAGTTTGGGGGAGCAATGGCTCTCCGCCTCCTAAATCACGGACCTTTGCCTTCAACAACGCCGCTCCTTCCCACAAGCTCAGCTGACGTTGGCCAAAGATTGATTAATTGGATATGTGGGAAGGAAAGCTTCTTGTCAGGTGATCGGATCATGAAGCGTGGTCAACGTGGTTATCCAAGGCCTTCAGCTCGAGCGCGAACTTGGAGATGTGGGGTTGACGGCAAACTTGTGATCAACGAGAAGATGAGTAAGCCTGATGCAGCAATGGATGACGAAGCTGGTCAAGACTGGCAAGGCGACCAAGGGAGGCAGATCATCGTGCAGATCAGATTCAAGCGTGTTGCTTTGTATCGGTCGTCCAACATCAGCTGAGGCCAAAAACGTAACCTCTACATCGCGAACCTCTCCGAAGCCGTGTCGGAAAACCAGCCGTAGCGAGACTTCGGCGCGCTCGGAGCGGTCTCGGCCACTTGCTTGCTTTTCCGCCCAACTCAGAGTTTCATCCACTTTTGCGCCCACGCTCAGGTTTTCCGCAAACTTGTTTCGGCCACTGCCGCTGTGAAAGACGAGCAGCCCAGAATACTTGAAGAAGCGATCGACCCCTGGCCGCATTTCCATTGAGTGGGCACGGCGCGGCTGAACTGCCGCCGCCGCCCTGTGCACCGTCGTGCCGATTGGTTTTTTCCACTTTTTTTCCCTGTCATTTGCCCTGCACTCGTTTTCATTTCTGCCACTGTCATGTCCCTTTCAGTTCCCCTTTGTTTCCCTTTCATTTCCCGTTGCTTTCCTGACATGTGGACTTCCTATTTCCTCCCCTCATTTCCTTGCACTTCCTTGCATTTCCCCTTTACTCCCCAGTATTCCCCGCAAAAAACAGCGTTTTCGCAAAGAGGACGTCCAACACACAGAGTTTTCCAGATTTTTACTAGTTACATAGAGCCAAGTTACATAGAGCCAAGTTACATAGAGCCAAGTTACATAGAGCCAAGTTACATAGAGCCAAGTTACATAGAGCCAAGTTACATAGAGCCAAGTTACATAGAGCCAAGTTACATAGAGCCAAGTTACATAGAGCCAAGTTACATAGAGCCAAGTTACATAGAGCCAAGTTACATAGAGCCAAGTTACATAGAGCCAAGTTACATAGAGCCAAGTTACATAGAGCCAAGTTACATAGAGCCAAGTTACATAGAGCCAAGTTACATAGAGCCAAGTTACATAGAGCCAAGTTACATAGAGCCAAGTTACATAGAGCCAAGTTGCATAGAGCCAAGTGGCACAGCGCCAAGTGACACAGAGAGCCAGGTGGCGCAGAGCCAAGGTTAGGTAGAGCTTGCGTAGAGCTTCGGCGTAAGCAGCTATGTAAGTTAGTTTAGGTTTCTAAGGCGCCCGGGCGGGAGTTTGATCGTCGCTCGGGATTGCGACCCTCTGCGACCCTCTGCGGAGATTCGCGTGGTCGAGGCTCAAAAACTAAGGACTTTTTACGATTTCTGCGGTGCGCGCGCGACACTCTGCGGAGATTCGCGTGGTCGAGGTTCAAAAACCCAGGACTTTTTACGATTTCTGCGGTGCGCGCGCGACCCTCTGCGGAGATTCGCGTGGTCGAGGTTCAAAAACTCAGGACTTTTTACGATTTCTGCGGTGCGCGCGCGACCCTCTGTCGGAGATTCGCGTGGTCGAGGTTCAGAAACTGAGGACTTTTTACGATTTCTGCGGTGCGCGCGCGACCCTCTGCGGAGATTCGCGTGGTCGAGGTTCAAAAACTGAGGGCTTTTCACGATTTCCGCGGTCCGCGCGCGACCCTCTGCGGAGATCGTGCGCGTCGAAGCGCTCTCGCTGTGGCGCCGTGCGAATTTGTCTTAGTCTCGGCGAACCCCGTGCGGAGATTGTGCGTGGTGGCGCCATGCAATTTTTTCTTGCTCGCGAAACGGCCTTTGGAAGTTGTCTCGTGGTTTGCGTGCCTGCTTTCGCAATCCCGCGGTCGCGGGTTCGATTCCCCCCTGGTCCGCGGCAGCTCCGGCTTGAAAATCGCAGCTTTTAAGTACAAACGTAGTACGCGGAGCGTGCTCCTGCAGCTCCGGCTGGAAAATCGCAACTTTTAAGTACAGACGTAGTATGCGGAGCGTGCTCCCGCAGCTCAGGCTGGAAAATCGCAACTTTTAAGTACAAACGTAGTACGCGGAGCACACCCCCGCAGCTCCGGCTTGAAAATCGCAACGTAGTACGCGGACCGTACTCCGCAGCTCCCGGCTGGAAAATCGCAACTTTTAAGTACAAAAATAGTACGCGAAGTACATTCCCACAGCTCCGGCAGCACTTGCGCAGAGCAACTTGCGCAGAGTCACTTGCGCAGAGCAACTTGCGCAGAGCAACTTGCACAGAGCAATTGCACAAAGCACTTGCGCAGAGCAACTTGCACAGACCAACTTGCACAGAGCACATGCGCAAAGCGCTTGCACGGAGCAACTGGCGCAGAGCACTTGCGCAGAGTCACTTGCGCAGAGCAACTTGCGCAGAGCAGCTTGCACAGAGCAATTGCACAAAGCACTTGCGCAGAGCAACTTGCTCAGAGCACTTGCGCAGAGCAACTTGCACAGAGCACTTGCGTGCAGCAGCGTGCAGCAGCTTGCAGAGAGCAACTTGCGCGCAGCAGCCTGGAACAATGCAGCTTGCGCAGACCACTTTCGTGAGAAATCGCGCGGCGCAGTTCGAGAGGAAAGTAGGATGATGAGATGGAGCTCTCATGTGACCATACACACTGAGCATCGCCGCGCACAGACACGCTCGCCGCAGCGATGTAAAAAGGTCGCCTGTGGAAAAATGCTTTCGGGCCAATCGTCCTCTAGTTTGTTTTTTAATGAGACAAATGGCGCAGCGTGAATATGTCCCATCAGAAGATGGCTACCCGGCGCGACTTCTGGATGGCAAAATGAGCCGTCTTCGCTTCAAGCGGGCAAGCGGCTTCAGTTCCGAGCAATTGCTCTCTCCCCAAGGCCGTTGGCAGAGTGAGCGAGTGCTTCTCAGAGCCACACTAAACTATGACATTGACAACGGATGCTGAGCAACGGCGCTTGTCTTACCAGGGCGCGATGAATGTCCAGGGTCAGGTGGGCCGCGATTCCGGAGATGTGCAAGCGGGACGCTACGGAGCAGCTCCCTGGCAGGTGGGCGTGCTTGCTGCCTGCTGTTCGTCTTCGGCTTGCAAAACCAGTGAAAGAGTTTAGTTCAAAGCACAGATGGTGGCCAGTAGAACAGCGACAGTGAGCCGGCGGACCAGCAGACCAGCGCATTGGCAGACCGGCGGGCCAGCGGGCCAGCGGACCAGCGGACCAGCGGACCAGCGGACTGGCGGACCGGCGGATCAGCGGACCAGCGGACCAGCGGACCAGCGGACCAGCGGACATACGGTCACGGCTTGGCACTTCGGGAGTGTACGCCAACCTGGTAACCTGCCTGGCATCGAAGCCTCT